GGGGCCGGGGCCCCCCTCGCCCCGCCGGGCCCGCGGAGAGCGGGGGCGGCCGCCCGGGTGGTTCTTGCCCCGCGCCCAGCGCATCCCAAACCCCAGCCGCGACACCAGCCCCGCGCGCCTCGCTTTGTGTGCGCGCATCGCGCGCGCTGCCGGCGCCCGCGGGCGCTGCGGCGCGGGTGGGAAACCCCCCCCGGGGGCGGGACACAGCGTGCAGTGAGCTCTGCACCCGAAGAAGCGCCACAAGGGAAGAGCTCCCTGCTTGCAGCCACCCTCATCCCTGACATAAATTAGGTCCCACTCTCGGTTTTGAAACGTCCCAAAATATTTATCTCATATGTATTTATCTACTTATTTATTTATCTATCTGATGCTTCGCGAGCGCTGGCGGTTCCTCAGAAAAACAGAGGTGCTACCATGCGCACGCGACGGGAAGGGCTCAGAGCTGCCAGCTTCTATTTCCTGGCCCCGTCCCGCGAGTCAGCCCGAATCGTCGCGCACTTTTCCAGTTTTAATCATCCCTCGCTATTTCTATTCCGCTCTTGCCCGCGCAATGGCGGCGCCGCGCTCTCTGCAGTCGCAGCCACGCGATTTGCACGTTTGCAGGTACCAACGCTGCTCGGCTGTCGGCGTCGGACGCTCGGGTAGGGAAAAAGAAGTTCTGCTCTTCCCAGCGCCTTGGAAATGCCCTCGCCGCCTGCCACCCCTTCGCACAACTAAATTCTTCCGTAGAAAGGTTTGAGAAATTAAACATATTACCAGAAATCCGAGAAGGGGTCCCAGAATGTCGGGATTTGCTGGAGACCTGGGCCAAACCTCGTGGAAAAAAAGAGTGGGAACACGAGACTGCTGTGATCCCTTTGATAAAGTCCGCTAAAGTCTGGCAATGTCAAAGTCGAGTTTTAATTAAATTATTCTTCCCAATGTGATTCAAATATTATGTTTTAATATTGGTGCACACGAAGCTGGTCCCAAAAAAAAAAAAAAAAAAAAAAAGTACTTCAGGAGAGCATCCCTGTTTCCCGCATCCCGCCACGCGTGCTGATCCCCCACCCGTCACGCACGCGCCCTTCTCCCCACGCCGGGCTGCAGCCCCGGGAGCGACCCGACGGGCTCGCCTTTTTTCTAACGCGCTTATAGCCCTCTTTTAGCGCCCCAAACCACTCGCTTCGCAAGGGACTCTGCTCCGCGCGAAGCGCCCCGAGAGCCAGCGAGGGGCTCAGGGTGGCAGGGGCAGCGGCTCCCCGGGGCCCCGGGCCACGGGGGGGCGCGGGGGGAC